TGCGGGGATCGGGGCGACGGCCGTGGTCCCGCCGCCTCCCCCCGGAACACCGACAAAGTTTGGTACAATCGCCGCGGTGAGCTGGGGACCGCCGCTCTAAGAGGTGCAGGTGCCCAGTGCTCTTCTGAGAGCCCGGGCGCAACGCTAAGGTCCCAGCGCTAGGCGAGCCTGAGCCGGAGGGAAGCTCCGAGAGGCTACCCCGCCCACCGCGCCTCCGGGCCAAGCTCAGAGCCTGGAGCCCAGGGCCAGGGGCGGAGAGTGGGACCTTCTGGGAGGAGGGGCAACAGGAGACACAAGAAACTCTCCTGGTGGGATGCCCGTGGCCTTTCCCCAAAGAAGCCCTTTTGCACTTGCTTCCCCATGAATTCCTCAGTGTTTGTATTTGTGAAACAACCTTTGAATCCTTTCTCATGCCTCTTACTGCCCTTCTGAAATTAAGCAATAGTAGTAAATTCTCCTTTCCCCAAATCTAGAACAAGTACTGCAAACATGTATATGGAAACCAAAAAAAGACCCCGAACAGCCGCAGCAATCTTGAAGCAAGTGTGAAGGTTTGAATGTGGAATTCTTTCCTGTCCTTTTCCCGGATGAAGTCTCCAGGATGGTAGCGTGGGCAGCTTTCATGAGGAAGCACCGCTCCACAGGCTGCAAATGTTCCCCACCTGAAAGCTGCTTTACCTTAAGTAGGTCTCAGGGCTACGTCAAAACAAGGGATAATGAAGGGGATGAATTCACATCCAGATTCTTCTCCTGCATTTTGTTTATTAACACGTGCACATTTGGATTCTACGTATTATTAAATTTTGAAACACTCCCTCCCAAAGAAGTTTTTATGAACTTCTTATCTGGAACTATTTTTGAACAATCGGGTTAAAGCTGTCTCAAACATACTTCACATTTCTGTTGTACAGTCTCATGGAAGGTCCTTTAGACCATTCTTTAAATACGCTATCATAAGAACACATTCTTGAAATATGCACTTAATGCCTTTAATTGTAAGAGAAGATCATACTGCTCTAAACTAAAAGCGCATTTGAGGTAGAAACTTCAAGAGCGTTTGCTCTTAATGGAAAGGAGAGTCAGGGCTTTCTCATTCTTCAAGATCATATTCGACTGCCTTGACGGACAATGCGTATTCTAGCCCTAAGATGGAAAGTAATAATGACATTTTTCCCATTCCACCTATTGGCATCCAGTGTCCAGGGAAGACACTGCTAATCAATCTGGGCTCTCTCCTCCGGGCTACGCCACATCATCACTACCATCACCACCCTCCCATATCCACAAGTGCTAGCCTGTCATTGAGGTTTTCTCCCCTTCCTAAGCATTGGAACCACCTAGGACACTTTTAAATGATATAGGCACTCCTGTCCAGGTATTCTGATTCTTTCGGTCTAAGTATTTTGGGGGTTTTGTTTTTTAGGGTTTTTTTTATTTTTAATGACTTTTTAAAAAAATATGTATCTTTATTGATGAAAGTATTAGATATCCCTCTTTTTCCCCATTGACCCACTCCACCCCTCACCCTCCCATGCTTTCACCACACTGTCTGTGTCCATGGATTATGCATATAACTTCTTGGGTTAATCTCTTCCCAAACCCCGCCCACCCCCACCCCTCTGAGACTGGTCAGTCTGTGTCATTTCTACAGGGTGTCCCAAAATTCACACAAGAAGTAATTTTGATAGAAAACACAGGTTTATAATTAAAAATTGTAAATTTTTTATTGATTCATAAAGTATATAGTATAGGGTTATTTCTTTGATTTCAATCCCTTCAATTTGATAAGCATTACCAAGTACCAATTATGGCCCAGGAGCAGGGAAAATGAAGACCAATGAAGACCACGGCTTTGCATATGTTCCAGCAAAGCTGTGGAGGCCATTTACCCGACGTGCTATTCCATACATAACCCTATACTGTATACGTTATGAATCAACAAAAAATTTACAATTTTAAATTATAAACCTGTGTTTTCTATCAAAATCAAATCTTGTGTGAATTTTGGGACACCCTATATATCTCTGGACCTATTTTCTTCATCAGTTTATTTTGTCCAGTAGATTCCACCCATGAGTGAGATCATGTGATGCTTGTCTTTCTCTGACTGGCTTATTTCACTTAGCATAATAGTCTCCAGGTCTCTCCATGCTGTCTCAAAGGGTAAGAGATTCTTCTTTTTTACAGCTGCATAGTATTCCATTGTGTAAATGTACCACAGCTTTTTTATCCACTCATCTACTGATGGGCACTTGGGCTGTTTCCAGATCTTAGCTATTGTAAATTGCACTGCTATGAACATAGGGGTGCATACATTCTTTCTCATTGGTGTTTCAGGATTCTTAGGATATATTCCTAGAAGAGGGATCACTGGGTCAAATGGCAGTTCCATTTTTAATTTTTTGAGGAATTTCCATACTGTTTTCATTAGTGGCTGCACCAGTCAGCATTCCCACCAGCAGTGCACTAGAGTTTCTGCTACATCATTGCCAGCACTTGTTATTTGTTGATTTGTTGATGGTGACCATTCCAGCAGGTGTGAGGCGATACTTCCTTGTCCTCTTAATTTGCATCTCTTTGATGATTAGTAGTTTTGAGTAGTTTTTCATATGCCTCTTGGCCATCTGTATGTCCACTTTGGAGAAGTGTCCATTAGGTCCTTTGACCATTTTTAATTATTGTATTGTTCGTCTTCCTTTTGTTAACTCATATGAGTTCTTTATATATTTTGGACATAACCCCTCATCAGATATGTCATTGGCAAATAAGCTTCCCCATACAGTGGACTCCCTTTTCATTCTGCTGATGGTTTCTTTTGCTGTGCAGAAGCTTTTTATTTTGATGTAGTCCCGTTTGTTTATTTTCTCCTTTGTTTCCCTTGCCCTAGGAGATGTATCAACAAACATATGCTATGAAAGATGTCTGAGATTTTGCTGCCTATGGTTTCTTCTAGGATTTTTATGGTTTCAGGGCTTACATTTAAGTCTTCTATACATTTTCAGTTTGTTCTTATGTATGGTGTAAGTTGGTAGTCCAGTTTCATTTTTTTGCATATACCTATCCAATTTTCTCAACACCATTTATTGAAGAGACTGTCTTTACTCCATTGTAAGTTGTTGCCTCCTTTGTCAAATATTAATTGAGTGTGATAGCTTGGGCCGATTTCTGGGTTCTCTGTTCTGCTCCATTGATCTGTCCTTGTGCCAGTACCAGGCTGCTTTGATTACAGTGTCTTTGTACTATAACTTGATTGTTATTGTGATCCCTCCAACTTTGATCTTTCTCAATATTGCTGTGGCTATTCGGGGTCTTTTTTGGTTCCATATAAATTTTTGGAGTATTTGTTCTAGATCTGTGAAAGATGGCAAGTGATACTGGTTTTCACTTTTGACTTTGATCCAGACCTTACACAACTTACAAAGAAGTGAAAATAATTTTAAGTGAATGTGTTTAAATAAAATGTACCAATTTAAATGAAAAATGATAAAATGTGTGAAAGACTGAAAACTAATAAACTTTGCTAACAAAAAAAAAATAAAGATCTAAATAAATGAAGAGATATAGTGTGTTCATGGTGAGAAGACTCAACATTGTTAAGAACATGATTATACCTAAATTGATCTATAAATCACTTCAGTCTCAAAATTCCATCAGACTTTTCAGAATAAATTGTCAAATCCATTCTAAAATTCGTGTGGAAATGCAAGGGAAGGACCTAAAATAGCCAAAACATCTTTGAAAAAGGGTAAAGTTGCAAGGCTAACAATATCTTATTTTGCAAGTAATTACAAAGTTACAGTAATAAAAACAGTGTAGTATTGGTGAAAAAACAGAAAAAATCTACCAATGTTACAGAATAGAGAGTTTAAAAATAGACAACCAATTTTAAACAAAGGTGCAAAGACAATTCAGTGGTAAAAGAATAATTTTTTTCCTAACAATTTTTTCTGGAACAATTGGACATTTGTATGTAAAAAAAATTGTTGACTTTGATCCATACCTTACACAACTTACAAACACTGACTAAAAATGGATTACAAACCTAAATGTAAATCATAAAACCATATAACATAGGATAACAAGTTTGTGATCTTGGGTTATGCAAAGATTTCTTAGATACAACAACGAAAGTATGATCCCCAAAAAGAACAAATTGATAAATTATAATTTATAAGAATTATATGCTTCTTTTCTTCAGAAGACACAGTTCATAGACTGAAACATCATACCATTGACTGAAAGAAAAGAATTGTAATACACATATCTGATGAAGGCCCTATATACATAATATATTAAGAAATTTTGAAACTCAAAAAAAGAACCCAATTTTTTAAAATGAGCAAAAGATTTGAAGAAGTATGTCACCAGAAATTATATATACATATATATAGTAAAGAAGCACAAGATGCTGAACATCATTAGTCACTAGGGAAATGCAAGTTAAACCGTA